ATATATAGTTTTTTATAGAATATGCAGAGGACCTCATGCTTGCTGTAATGTAATGGAAAGGAGAATCCATTTTCCAACCCTTGACCTGGCAAAAGAAGATGCAGAAAAAATGTATACAGATTATCCAAAGCCTGTGTGCTCTACAAACACAGACAGGTCAAAAGCCACAAAGGAGGAAGCAATAAAAGCCCTCAGGTCCAGGTTTAACAAAGAGAGTTGACTTTAATTACACATTTATAAAAACCTGTATATTCCTGTGAAGGCCAGGCCTCTCTTATTTTTGTTACCACACATGATGGTAGAATGCGTCTATTTTTCTTCCCAAGAAAATGCCAAATCCAGCGTGCACATCTTCTGTAGGCAGTGTACCGGAACAACCTGAATAACATTTTAACATCTTAAAATATATTTTTTTGCAAAATGAAGTTTTTTTTATCCATCAACTTTATAAAAATGAACTGTGGCATTTATTACTATTTTTATGAATATCTTGTATGTTATATTGGTTAACCCTTTTAATTGTCTTTTACAGAAATCTTTAGATATGTTTATACAGTTAGCAATCATTCATTTAAAGTCATTCAATTTTTTTTWAAATTCCTTGTACAGAAATAATCAAAAAATTTGTTAAACTTACTCGTGCTTTGGTTCCTTGTCACCTATAGGACCATTTTTCTCTAGAAACTCGTAGAAGCTGGTCTCTAACACATCTCTGTCCAGGCAGTTATTCAGAAACCCATAGTGTTCAGTGACACACTGCAGCTGTTTTTCTTGAGCTTTTTGTTAGAAAAGGTCAACTTCTGTGCAGCATGAACTTTTTCCCGTTTTCATTGGTTGACTTTCCACAGTCACCTGTAAAATAAATAATGAGAAATGGGAACAAAGTATTCCTCGTTTTAACGTGAACTGTTATTTTAATGTTTTTATCTGCTGACCTTATCTTTTAGATGTCAACAATAAATGTTGTAAATGTATGTACGTTTACAACGATATAAAAATATATTACATGCTTTAAGTTTTGATTTCATAATTTATGTTTAAAAATTTAGATTTAGAAAAGTATTCTGCAGGGACTTGCATGGTCACGTTTTACTTATACTGAAGTAAAAACTAGTTTTTGGCCACGCTTCTGATTATTGATGTTTCCACCAATTTCCTTTCTGATTCTAATATAATGTACATATTGTGCTGCCTGATCTGATGTTTCTTTGTGCAAACGCACCTGTGTCTGGTAAGTCTAAAACTGAGTTTTTCAAGACAGTAATTTAGTCATTTTTAACACAGTTTATTGATGTAGTGTCTTTATATARCTGGGTTAATAGACAACAACAGGTCTTTCAAATGACAGATCATTCCAAATATGTGAAAATGGTGTTATAAACAAAAAAATTTAAAACAAAACTGTTATAATGAATTTTATTTAAATTATCTAAAAATACTATCAAATTTAAAGCTTTCTTATTAATCATCCAAATTAATCTTCATGACAAGAACATAACAGGAAAATACTGATCATCTGACACCTCCTTGCTGCAKCACTTACGTTAACAAAATGAAAAATAAAGTATTGATATCTTGATTTTAGTACTGATACTAAAGCATAAGATCTGTTACAAACATAATTACAGAATGATGGCAACAGGATAAAGGYTCTCTGAGGTAATTTAAGACACTAAAATTTGATTTTTAATTATACAATCTTAAATAAATAAGAGAGAAATCAGTTTAAGGCTGTTTTCAATCAGGCTGCATTAGACAGCATAATTAGCACAACTTCACCAACATGACAAACTAATGCGCAAAACCTAGAATGAGAAAACAAACTATTGAGGCACTTTTGGAAGATTTTTTTAATCTTGTATGCTGAGATTAAATCCCTGCATGAATTCTCTACAGTCCTAACATCAAAGTCCTGACTATTACAGTAACTGTTTATCTCTGTTAGATTAAAAACAAGCAAAATTCTCATTAATTAGTAACTCATACACGTTTTTAATATATTCACATAATCTCAAATATAACAGGTAAAAACACTGTTGCTTCAAGTATTGTTGAAAGATCCTTTTTATCTTAAGCGGTTGGTTTGTGTGGGTTTTGTTGATCCACCTGACTCACAAAGCCCCCCGCTAATTCAGATTTGAGTCTCTGTCCCTGAGTCTAGGGAAGCAAGGACGGAAGTTTCTACATTCGTAGAAGAACTGATTGTTGCTTCTCTGTAGACAACTGATACCGCTGCTGTTTGATGATGTCCAGGGAGTCTCTGAGAACCTGCAGGGGGAAAAAAAAGAACAAAAATGAGATTAAAGCTCCTCCAGAATAATTTATTGGAAGTTGTGAAAACTTATTTTTACCTTCCTGGTGTCCTGCGGCAGAATGACTCCATCRTCCCACATCCTGCCAGAGGAAAAGAAGGCTGAGCTCTCCTCCTCTAACCTCTTGTTCAGAGTCTCCACCTGCTTCTCCTCCTCCTCATCATCATCAGGAGACAGCAGAGAGCCAGCGTGGCCCGGAGCCGTCAGAGACACCCTGGCGTTGGGCCACAGGAAGAGGAAGTTAGGATCAAAGGCCCGCCCACACTGGAGACARAAATTMGAMTTCAATTTATTTATATAGCGCCAAGTCACAACATACATTGTCTCAGGGCACTGTAMAAACAGGACAGAAGAATGAAACCTGTCAACCTAAATGAAAAAGATTTATCCAACACGTAAAAACAAGCTCGCTCACCATGGCAAAGCTGTCGGCGCCATGGCAGCCTCCAATCACAACAGTGATTTTGGGGACGGAGGCGCACGCTACCGCTGACATCATCGAAGCYTGAGCTTTAAGTAAGTTACTGTTCATCTCTGCCTGGAAGAAATACAAACAAARTACTCAGCTAAAATACTAAAACGGTATTTGACCAGGCTGAATATAAATCTAATCCTTGTGTGGTTTGATCTTTTGTTTTCCTGTTTCAAAATAAAATGAGGAAAAAAAAAGAAGAATCGGATGTTTTAGGTTTTTTTATTATTAATTTAGAAAAAACGTCAATTGCAAAATTAAAAAAGTCTAAGTTTTTTTCTTCTTGCTTTTTTCATCTTAAAGGTTAAAGCAAAGACAACTGTTATATTTTGATTGCGTATCGTAGAGCTGTGCGGTATGACCCAAATTTCATATCACGATATTTTCAAAATTACACCAGTTTCACGGTATTTGACGGTATTTTTTTTCCTCACAGCTCAGCTAATAAGAAAATGTACAAACTTTGCTTATTGACTTTTTTCTTTTCCTGTACCTCTGTATCACTGTTTCCCTCCTCTTGTACGTCTTTTCTTCTTTGCCTGGTTGTAGACAGTAATCATGCACTTTGGTCTGATCATTAAGGGTTGAGAAAAGATCATTATTGGGTCAATCGTTTTGTGTTAATAAAACTTAAAAGGACGACTCACCTTACACACCAGTCAACTCAGCTCTACTACAAAACTACTTCCCCCCGGACTTTTCACAATAGAAGCACGCTAGAGTCTCCATGCAATAATGTCTCCATTATAACGTCGCGCGTTAAATCTAACCATGCACGTCACCGAAGAGTTGTTTACTACATTCAGCGGCAGTGAAAACGGGATGTTTTCTTTTAACGTCAGTCAATATAAGTAGCTGAAACACCATCCGCCTCCAGTTACTGAAACATTAGCATGCTAATGCGCTTAGCGGTGCTGCGGGAAATGTGTCCCCTGGGAAACAGTTCACTGGCGGCCACGACAAAACGTTCCGCACGTGTTCAGGCTATTTAAACCGCTATGTCCGGTATTCAGATAATTCATATCATAACAAAAATAAAAAACGGTTTTTGATACAAAATGGTATACCGCCCAGCACTAGCGTATCGTTTTTTTTTAGTTTCTGGCAGATCCAGAAATCCTCATGGATCCCTGTGAGGGGATATGGGAGGATTTTATTTCCTTGTGTGTTACCTTTCAATACCTTTGCGCGCCCTCGCAATACCTTTGCGTTAACACGCAATACTTTTGCGTTAACTCGCAATACTTTTGCATTACCTCGCAATACGTTTGCGTTACCTCGCAATACCTTTGCGTTACCTCGCAATGCCTTTGCGTTACCTCGCAATACCTTTGCGTTACCT